AAGGACGCCTTTCAGGTTATTAGCTCCGGATTTTCGTCGCTCCCTGTCTCGGAAACGTACACGTCGAGGTTTCAAGATACCTTGTAATGGGGAGGTCCAATCTGAACGAGGGTTGAGGACGGACAAATAATTTGGAGCAATTTTTGTGTGAAGAAGGGACCGAAAATGTTGTCCACTCGGTGAACACGAAAATTTAAACCCCAATAAGAATGAATACAAAACATAAGCATACAATGCAGTACGTCCTTCTAAAGACGTCAGTTACACCGAAGACTAGACCCAAGTAACAGACACAACACGTACTTATGTTATGCGAGACAAAAACATACATACCATATACGATACAAAATATGGTCAAGCAACTACATGTTCGTGAAACAGTTGAGACAACAAAAAATTTCACACCCGATATATCTTTATTTTACCCTAACCTGGAACCTATCTTGGCGTGGGGGATGCTCAGTTTCTCAGACTTTACACTGTATAGTTTATACGTGTAACCTGAAATTACATTTGTATTGAGAATATATTATTGAAGGAATTGCTCCTTAACTAAAAAACGCAATTCTAATCGAAACTTGTAAAAACTTAACTTCTTATTCGTTTGTTGAGTTGAGTTATATTAGCTTCAGTCGATTAATTGACTCGTCTTAGACAGTTAGTATAAAGATTTAACTCTGTATGCCGACATACACAGTGAGGCCCAAATGACACTTCAAATGCCAATTTCAGGGGCTACACTGTGGTCAAAGTGTTCGTTACAAGCAGAGTGAAACAGCAGACCTCAGTGACCGTGTGGGTGTGTATGGTTGTCAGAAATGTGTTCTTTGTGGTCTATTTAGTCTAAATTATGTTCCCCTTAATTTCCTCAAAGTAGAAATGGGTCCGGGTTCTTATGGGTTAACAAGGAAATACCATACATGTTTTTTAAAGAGAAGACAAAAAATGAAAATAACTCAAATGTAAAAACATATCTAAAAATGTAATTAAATGGTTGAATAAATAAAAAATGCAATATTATGTAAGTTAATGTTTAATTGGCACAATACAAAAATGAATCAAAAATTAAGTGAAATATTAAATATAAAAAATGTATTGTATCTTCGTTTATTTGCACATATTGTATATATTTATTTATTCCTATACAATTTTTATTTTAAAAATGTTTTCATATGAATTCATAGTGTAATGTCCTGTTGCAAAACAAATTCATCCATTTCCTTTTCCTCCATCAAAAGTAAATGAACATAAGAGAACAAATCTGTGATTACATGAATAAGTAAATTACTAAATAAATGTACATTTAAAAATACTAATATAAAAAATAGACAAATCATGTGTCATGATATTAATATTTTTTTTATTCATGGTAACAGTTGAACATTGAAACTACATCATTGTTTATATAGCATCTATATATAAAATTAGTTATTCCTTTCGTTTAAACTGAGAACCATTGATATAGCTCTAAAACAGGAGGCGACTTTCCTCCACGTC